CAATTATATCTTGATGAGAAAGTAAGGTTGAGGGCATTCTTTAAATCTGATTGTAGTAGGGTGGCAATAGCAACAGATTGTTGGACATTTGTCCAAAATCTAAACTATTTGACCCTAACTGCACATTTTATTGATAGGGATTGGAATTACCAAAAGAGGATTATTAGCTTTACCGTTATTCCAAATCACCGTGGTAGAACGGTTGGTAAGAAGGTTGAGGATGTATTGAAGGAGTGGGGGCTGAGAAATGTTTCTACCATTACGGTTGATAATGCGGCATCAAATGATGTTGTTATTAAATATTTAGAGCAGAAAGTAAGAAATATGAATGGACTTTTAATGGATGGGTTTGGGTTTCACATGAGGTGTTGTGCTCATATACTGAATTTGGTTGTTAGAGATGGATTAAAAGTAGTCAGCACCTCAATTTCAAGTGTTAGAAATGCTATTAGGTTTGTGAGATCTTCACCCCATAGAGATTTAAAGTTCAAGGAGTGTGTGGAATATGTTGGGATTACATGTAAGAAGTCAGTATGTCTTGATGTTTCAACTAGATGGAAATCGACATATTTGATGTTAGATGCGGCCGAGAAATTTCAAACTGCTTTTGATAAACTAGAAGATGGGGATGAAGACTATAGGGATTTCTTTGACAGTGATTCCCCCCTAGTAGTCAAGATTGGGATAATGTTAGAGTTTTTATTAAGTTTTTGAAGAAATATTATGAAGCGACAAAGGTTTTTTCTGTTTCAACAAAAGCAAGTTTGCATACTGCTTTTCCATTCTTGGCTAAAATCTACATTGAACTTAAGAAATTAAACATGGACCTTAATGGATTATTTGCAAATGTGGCACGGGACATGTTGGAAAAGTTTTATAAGTACTGGGTTGATATCACTAAGATGAACCGGCTCCTTTATTTTGGTATTATTTTTGATCCCCGGTATAAGTTAAGATATGTGGAATGGTACTTTGATGATATGTATGGAAAAGATTCAGACACTAAGAAATCCGTATTAAAAGATATCAATAACAATCTTTCAAAGATGTTTGATCTTTACAAACAAGCCCATGACATTGCTGGAGGCTTAGTCACATCTGTTGCAGCCGCTGTTTCTCATGGTGAAACGGCTGCCACTGACGAATTACCCACATATATAGCTATAGAAAATGCTTTTCATCAACATTTGATGTCTATTGATTCAGTGGAAGAAGAAACCGAGCTTCAGAGTTATATTTCTAGAAAATGTTTAACTTTCAATGAAAAAGATAAAGAAAAGTTTGACATTCTTTGTTGGTGGAAACATAATGTTGGTCAATACCCGGTTCTGTCCCAAATAGTTAGAGATATCATGCCTACACCAGTTTCAACTATGGCTTCTGAGAGTGCATTTAGCACGGGTGGAAGGGTTTTAGAGGTATACAAAAGCTCTCTCAAATCAGAAATGGTCGAAGCTTTAATTTGTACTCAGAACTGGTTGAGACCTACCTTTTACCAATTCAAAAGCATGGAATTTAACGAGGATTATGAGATATTTAAAGATGCTTTACTAGGTATTGCGTCTATTTTTATTTAAGTGTAATTTTTTATTTTATTTGTAAAATCTTAAAGTTAAGGTTTTCTTATTATGTTTGTAATATATTTTAGGATTTACTGAAACTTCAGTCGGAAGTGAAGCACTATCTTCTTCTCATACTCAGTCAAAGATTTCGGTCTGTACCTGAAAAACATATTCAGGTTTAATTCTCTTGTATTTTTGTTCATGTGTTTTTGTTGAATAAAACATGTATTCTTATTGTAATACCCCAAATTTTTCCCTAAGATTAGTCGTTTCATCTTGCATCCCATTTCATTTTGCATTGCGTTTAAACTAACCACTAACGGGTTGTGCAGTTGGTTGATTGTTGCAAGAAAATATCATGTGGCGCGTTCTTTTAGTTTACAGGGTTTCTAGTGCCACTTTATTTTGAATGAATAAAATAGCACAATTGGAAAGAGACGGTGTGTAAGGAGTTATGAGTGTGAAAGGTCGAGAGTTCGAATCTCACCTTCTTTTATTTTGTGACGCTGCATGCAGCAGTAACCATAACCCAACCCAATTTTTGTTTTCCCTTTTGTTGTTTTAGTAGTACATTTACTTTTAATTGAAAATTCTGTTTTTAAAAATAAGTGAAAGTTCTACTTTTATAAAACAAATAAAAAACTTTTTCTTAAAAGCTTTTCTAAAATAAAAACTTTTTTAGATAATAAAATAAAAACCTTTTTTTTAAATACAAATTAAAACTTTGTTTTTTTTTTAAGTATAAAACTTTTTTTAAAAAATTGATAAACATTTTTAAAAAAATTAAAGTTAAAACTTTCTTCCTCACAAAATAATAATTAAATTTTATTTTTTCTAAAATATTAAAATTAGAGTTTTGTTAAAATTTAAAACTAAAACAAATTTTTAAAACTTAAACTAAACCTTTTTTAGACTAAGATTAAAATTATTTTTTTCAAAATTAAAACTAAAATCCTTTTTCAAAACTAATAAAACAATAATAAAAATTCCAAATTGCAGTTTGTCTTTCTTTCAATACTAACTGTTCCATTTTTTGCCATATTTCTGTCTAACCCTTCTCACAAATGTTCTCTATTTTTCTCCTCAGACTATACTTAAATTCTGATTAGTTTATTTAATTTATGTTGGTCCATGGATGTAATTTACGCGAGGCCATGATCGCGGTTTTATTTTATTTTCCTTTTTTTGGGGTTTGTAATTTACGCGAGTGATCGTCGCGACGCTTTCTTTACTTTCCGCACTTTAATTTCTGCCATATAATATTTTTCCATGTTTGCATGTTTTACCGTTAATTTTCCCCTCCGAGGGAATTAGGTCTAGCCGTTTGACCGCCGAGTCAATAACCCTAATTTTTGACCCTTTCAAACCCTATTAGCCTAGGCGTCCCGCCGTGGACGAAAACGCTCTTTATCCTAGATTTTAGGTCAACGAGTCGATGTACTCTGTTTTAGGGTTTCTCGCCGTGGAATCCCTAATTCTAACCCTATTTTAAATTCAACATTTCAACGTAGAAACAGGAGTTTCAAAACTCCACGTAAGCGTGTCCTTAAGATACGTTTACTCCCCTTGAAACCTTGACCACAGTCAAGAAGTTTCTAACCTCCCTTTCACGGGGAACTATGATTACTCTGGTTCCATTCCCTATCTAGGATACGTAGGCACAAGATGTGACGTCTTGCCGAGTAAACTTAGGAATAACCCTTAGGTCTTTTAGGTCACTTTATCTCTTAGCTCAATATATATTAAAACAGATAATAAATAAAAATAAAAGGCATACAATAAATAAAGGGTTCCTGTAGAGTACTACAGAAGTTTAGGGTGCTAGTACCTTCCCTAAATTTAACCAACCCCTTACCTAGGTCTTTCCCCGCATTGTGTTTACGATGCAAAAATAGGTTTTCCCTCTTTTGACCTTTTCCTTCGGATAAATCAAAGAGCGGTTGTGAATCAAAAAATTGTGATTCAAACTAATTAATAGTTTGATATCCTATTTCCACCGCAACACTTATGTTTTTTCTTATATTTGCAGCAGACACTTTTTGAATTTTTTTGGAGTCATGAGTGACTCGTATTTTGAATCCATGTATAACCAACCGAACACTTTTTGAAAGAATATCTAGAAACTTTTGATGAATCCATGTACAACCAACCAAACACTTTTTGAAAGAGAGGTTCGGTTGTCGCTACTAGTTATGACTATGATGCTCCACTAGTTATGACTTTTTGAAAAATACCAGGAGCTGTCCCTTTGGTGATGACTGTCACTTTGCTCACGGAGATGCAGGTAATAGGACTGGTTTTGGTTTCTTTTATGATTCTATTGTTTTGTTTTGCTCAAGATCTGTTTTTTCAATATGATGTACACAATTACAGTGATTGAATATGTGTATGATCTTTTCGTGTTTAGTTTGCTAGCTAGTCATATTAAATGGAACCCGATTTCACATGTGACTTATTGCTTTTACACTACAGCTTGCTGTAACTTGTAAGCATAACTTGCTCTAAAACAATATACTGATTTCGAGTGAGGTACACAATATGTTTTGGTTTCAAATAATGGTATTTGTTGTGAACCCTACAAAATGTGGATTCTGTTGCAGAACTCATGGAAATGAAACAAGAAAGCTTTGTATTTTATTTAGCATTGAGAGATAAGCAACAAAATTTTAACTATTATATTATTATTTCTGAAAGATTTTCAAGATGCATTGTATTCTCTTAATTAGCTCCTAATCTCTTTGCACTGAACTCCAAACCAAGTTTAATTTTTTGTATGCTGAGTAAATTGATTTTAGGTTGAGATATCAACTGCCATTTCAATTACCTTGATTATATATTTGGAAATAAAAAGAATAAAAATTAATTTTGTGGCAGAAAACGATGGGGATGTGTCTAGGGAAGAAGACTTTGACGAGGTCAATGTTGAGTACCAGGTAAAATTTGTACATAGAGCCTTATTTGTGTTCTTTTCCTCCCTTTGTTCTGCATTTTTCATCTTACTCCCAATTATCAAGAGCATATTTATATTTTCTATAAAATCTGTGTAAATATGAAATCATTATGGATCCTTGGCCAAGTATCTCTGAAAGTGCAAAAGACTTGGTTAAGAAGATGTTTGTTAGAGATCCTAGTAAAAGGATAACAGCACATGAAGTTCTTTGTAAGTTTCACCACTTTTTTTACATTATGATACTGGTAAAACATATTTCATATTTTCACATTTGAAATGTCATAATATAACATTCATTACAGATTCCATATTTTCAAGACTAAAAATGTTGCATTGTTTAATCATATAGAACATGAACTTTTATTACCATCTTGTAAATGGTGTCGTTCCAATTTTCTGTAGGCCACTCTTGGATTTAGGTTGACGGAGTTGCTCTCGACAAGCCTTTTGATTCCGCAGTTTTGAGTCTTCTGAAGCAATTTTCTGCTATGAACAAACTCAAGAAAATGGCTCTTCGAGTTAGTAACTTTTCTATTACATAGTTCTATCATGTGAGAGTATATGCTTTTAATTTGGTATTGTCAAATTAAGCTCTTTGTGATATTTTCCGCGATCTTTCCATTCAGGTTATTGCTGAGAATCTTTCTGAAGAAGAAATATCTGGGTTGAAAGAATTGTTTAAGATGATAGACACTGACAACACCGGTCAAATTACTTTCGAAAAACTCAAGGCTGGACTGAAAATGTTCGGCGCCAATCTCAATGAATTTGAGATTTTTGATCTATTGAATGCTGTAAGTTCAAAATCTTCTTCAATTTCTTTAATGTCACAAAATAAAACTTTGTTTTCTTTCGTGTTGGCAATTTTAGTTTCACAATACTATAATCCATTTTAACCAATTTTGTTTGTTATTGCAGGCAGATGTAGATAATAGTGGCACAATTGACTATGGAGAATTCATAGCTGCAACATTGCATTTGAACAAAGTTGGTAGGGAAGATAATTTAGTTACAGCTTTCTCATATTTTGATAAAGATGGAAGTGGTTACATCACTCAAGATGAGCTTCAAAAAGTTTGTAAAGAATTCAGCATGAAAGATGTCGACTTAGAGGAAATGATCCAAGAAGCTGATCATAATAATGTGAGTACATAATATTTTCAATCATGCTTTTCCAAATCTCGTACAACTTTTGACGTTGTTGCTATGTTCATGTTTTTATCCTTTCAGGATGGACAAATAGACTACAACGAATTTGTTGTTATGATGCTGAGAGGCAATACAGATTTAGGCAACAGTGGTTCAAAGTGTAGAAGCACTAGCTTTAACATTGGATTGAATGGTGGTGTTTATAATTGAATATGCAGGCTGCTTAAAATGAGAGGTTCTTCAATGTTATTTACTAGTTTCACAATGGTGCTTTGGTTGTGTTACTACATGGAATTTATGTTGAATAATTCAAATTTAGATTTTATATGGTCCTTGGAAGGATTTTTAATTTAGTTAAACAATTTGGTTGTATTAATGTTATTGAATTTGTTTTAGTTTTAAGAGAAATATGGGTTCTAATAGTAATTTTAAATGTATTCTAACAATTTAAATTGTGAAGTTTTGGAAGTCCAATATATGGCTCATTTCTTAAAAAAAAACAAAAAAAAAAGACTTAAAAAATGTATTTTGACCATTTTTAAAATTGGGTCATCCTTAGTCTAAATAAAAAAAATGTATACATTTTCATTGGGCCAAAATCTGTAAAATCCAAAAATAACCGACTTAATAATTTAAACCCGAATACAACCGAACCCGACAATCCGAAATTACAATCCAGTTAAAAACAGATTATAATATCCCACCCTATGGATTGGTCGGTTTGAGGTTTTGAGCCCGAACCCAAACCGACCTGATCCGCTGCCCAGCCCTGGTTACAAGAATCTTTCATTCGTACGAGAAAGAATTTGCAACCGCTAAGCAACAATAGAGGTTTGATATTCTTTCTTGATGGAAAATTGTCCCCAAAAGGCATGTGCATCAAAACACTGTTGGAGACTTAGGAATAACATAGGATGTTGACTAGATGCTTAATCAATTAGGATTGATCTATTTTATATCTTTAAAAATCCGTACCTATTCTAGAAGTACCTTAGAATTTTTAAGCACTTTAGAGGTAAACATTAATAGGGTGGCAGATAACTAGTGTAGAGTTGTAACCTTTAGGATGTTCAACACAGATTATTCGTTGAGCATCTCTCGTATTTCTGAGATTTATAAACTGCCAACTGAGGGTGATAAGGTTATCCCTAAGGGAGTTTATGTGAATATATTTTGGCTAAAATTGACTGGTGAAGGATATTAATCTGATATGGCCAAAAGTTCTTTAGTTTAAAACCTTTATTTAAGTGTATACAAAAGATATTAGAATACATCATATTTGCGAGATGGGGTAGTACCAGGGTCACCATCCTGAGAGAATTATTTTTATATGGTCTATGATTGAAGTCCACTCTGGTTGACTATACTGTCTTTTTGTCTAAGAATTTTGGAAATGTGAGGAAGGCTACAAGCGAAAGCATCACAAATGCCCGTTGTTGAATTCTTGGGTTACAAAATGGTTGTTGAGCAGCTATCTAAAATTCATAGAAGTACAAGGCTAGACGTGGAAGCATTTGTTATAATGCAAATAGTCGTTCAATCAAGCGTCTCTTATAAGCTTCTAGTCAGAGGTCAGGAGTTAATTGTCATATCCAACCAAAGAAAGAGAACAGTCTGCAACCCTGATAACTAGAATTACTCCTGACATGCATCAGTTCATATTGAGATGCTTGAAGATGATAATGAGCCAATCTCACTGCCTTCCACTGACCCGCTGCCTTATCATACCCAAAGATCCAAATAACACCAAGAAAGCAATCAGAAATGTCAAGTGATAATGGAAGCCGAACAGATAAGGAAAGGCAAAATATTGAACCTGATGAACAATATGATGACTATAATGTTCAACATCATGTATCGCAAGGGCATTTCCCTCCTCTACCATAATTTTTTAGTTTTTCCTTTTCCTTCTCTTTTGTTTATTCTTTTTTACATTAGGGGCAGTGTTTGATTTAAACATGGAGAGTTTTAAGTTTTTTTTATACATTGGTTCAGTTTATGTGTTTGATGTTTCAATTGAATAAAAATTATCAAATTTACCTATCTTAGAATTCATGATGAGTTTTATTGAATAAGAATTATGTGCAATTGTATGATAAAAACTACATTTTTATAAGGCAAAAACTAAGGTTAGAAAAAAAAAAAGTAGGCGATAATTCGTATTCTAACAGCTAGTATCCTCCTATATATGTAAACACTTTGACGATTAAATTAATAAAGATCATGAGTGTGAAGTTTTAGGGTTTAAAATTGCGCAAACTTGAGTCTAAACCTAATTTAATATACTCTTAAGATGTGTCCATCTCATAGATCGCTTAACTACTAATGCTTGGGATGACCCGATTTTAGGCCCAATTCAAAACTCTTTGTTTTAGACTATATTATATTTAAACAAATGGAAAAGATATAAAAAAAATTAACATGCCACCCCTCAATTAAATATGACACCCCACATAATAGCTGTTAATATTTTTATGCCCTTACTAAATTTTGTTGGAATTTTTTATTGTGTTTAACGAAACTTTTTAAAGTTTTTGAAAAAAATTGAAATATTGAAATTTTGAAAACAAAAATTTACACTATCGGAAATTTTTAAATTTCCGATAAATTACCACACTTTTCGAAATTTTTTATAATCTACAACACTTTTCAAAATTTTTTATAGTGTTAAGTTTTTTTTATTGAATAGGAACTACCAAAATTTTAAAAAATTCAAAAAAATAAGGTAAATATCGGATTTATCAAAAAATATGATATGTTAATTTTGTTCAAAAAATCGATAAAAAAATTAATATCGACAATTTAAAAATAAACTACCAAATATTTAGTCTGTTATCAAAATTTTGAAATGAACTACTAAAAATTGAACCTGTTATCAAAAATTTAAAATGAATTATTAAAAATTTAATTCGTATTTTTTTACTCAAATCTATTCATGAAGAGATTGAGAAGTATAAAATTATATGGGAGGGATAAGAAGTTAAATGCTCAAAAAGATAAGCAAAATTATTTTTAGGCCCACCTATAAATATAATAGGACAAATAGAACTCTATTTCATGCGATCATCTATGAGGTCTAATAGATTTTGTGATAGGTTTATGTATGGTCCTAGATACTTATGCATGTAGCAATAATAAGGAAGAAAAAAAAGAAGAGAAGCGAAAATAAAAGTGTTAGTCAATAACAATCTTTCAAAGATGTTTGATCTTTACAAACAAGCCCATGACATTGCTGGAGGCTTAGTCACATCTGTTGCAGCCGCTGTTTCTCATGGTGAAACGGCTGCCACTGACGAATTACCCACATATATAGCTACAGAAAATGCTTTTCATCAACATTTGATGTCTATTGATTCAGTGGAAGAAGAAACTGAGCTTCAGAGTTATATTTCTAGAAAATGTTTAACTTTCAATGAAAAAGATAAAGAAAAGTTTGACATTCTTTGTTGGTGGAAACATAATGTTGGTCAATACCCGGTTCTGTCCCAAATAGTTAGAGATATCATGCCTACACCAGTTTCAACTATGGCTTCTGAGAGTGCATTTAGCACGGGTGGAAGGGTTTTAGAGGTATACAAAAGCTCTCTCAAATCAGAAATGGTCGAAGCTTTAATTTGTACTCAGAACTGGTTGAGACCTACCTTTTACCAATTCAAAAGCATGGAATTTAACGAGGATTATGAGATATTTGAAGATGCTTTACTAGGTATTGCGTCTATTTTTATTTAAGCGTAATTTTTTATTTTATTTGTAAAATCCTAAAGTTAAGGTTTTCTTATTATGTTTGTAATATATTTTAGGATTTACTGAAACTTCAGTCGGAAGTGAAGCACTATCTTCTTCTCATACTCAGTCACAGATTTCGGTCTGTACCTGAAAAACATATTCAGGTTTAATTCTCTTGTATTTTTGTTCATGTGTTTTTGTTGAATAAAACATGTATTCTTATTGTAATACCCCAAATTTTGCCCTAAGATTAGTCGTTTCATCTTGCATCCCATTTCATTTTGCATTGCGTTTAAACTAACCACTAACGGGTTGTGCAGTTGGTTGATTGTTGCAAGAAAATATCATGTGGCGCGTTCTTTTAGTTTACAGGGTTTCTAGTGCCACTTTATTTTGAATGAATAAAATAGCACAATTGGAAAGAGACGGTGTGTAAGGAGTTATGAGTGTGAAAGGTCGAGAGTTCGAATCTCACCTTCTTTTATTTTGTGACGCTGCATGCAGCAGTAACCATAACCCAACCCAATTTTTGTTTTCCCTTTTGTTGTTTTAGTAGTACATTTATTTTTAATTGAAAATTCTGTTTTTAAAAATAAGTGAAAGTTCTACTTTTATAAAACAAATAAAAAACTTTTTCTTAAAAGCTTTTCTAAAATAAAAACTTTTTTAGATAATAAAATAAAAACCTTTTTTTAAAATACAAATTAAAACTTTGTTTTTTTTTTTAAGTATAAAACTTTTTTTAAAAAATTGATAAACATTTTTAAAAAAATTAAAGTTAAAACTTTCTTCCTCACAAAATAATAATTAAATTTTATTTTTTCTAAAATATTAAAATTAGAGTTTTGTTAAAATTTAAAACTAAAACAAATTTTTAAAACTTAAACTAAACCTTTTTTAGACTAAGATTAAAATTATTTTTTTCAAAATTAAAACTAAAATCCTTTTTCAAAACTAATAAAACAATAATAAAAATTCCAAATTGCAGTTTGTCTTTCTTTCAATACTAACTGTTCCATTTTTTGCCATATTTCTGTCTAACCCTTCTCACAAATGTTCTCTATTTTTCTCCTCAGACTATACTTAAATTCTGATTAGTTTATTTAATTTATGTTGGTCCATGGATGTAATTTACGCGAGGCCATGATCGCGGTTTTATTTTATTTTCCTTTTTTTGGGGTTTGTAATTTACGCGAGTGATCGTCGCGACGCTTTCTTTACTTTCCGCACTTTAATTTCTGCCATATAATATTTTTCCATGTTTGCATGTTTTACCGTTAATTTTCCCCTCCGAGGGAATTAGGTCTAGCTGTTTGACCGCCGAGTCAATAACCCTAATTTTTTACCCTTTCAAACCCTATTAGCCTAGGCGTCCCGCCGTGGACGAAAACGCTCTTTATCCTAGATTTTAGGTCAACGAGTCGCTGTACTCTGTTTTAGGGTTTCTCGCCGTGGAATCCCTAATTCTAACCCTATTTTAAATT